CCCCGTGCAGCTGCTCGACGGTCTCACGGTGAGACTGTTCTCTCGACTTGGTAGGAGATAGGCTTGAGTCAGGGACTCGCAGGTGATAGGATCCGCAGGGCGCAACTTGTTGTTCCTGGACCCGAAGACACTACGCATTTACGTAAGGGTGTCGTAACGCCCCGGCCTCACACGCCCTCCCCAACTTTCCTGATCGATCCTGAGGGGGATCCGGCCCTGAGTCTCTCGTGACCCTGCCCTGCCCTGACTTGCGCCCTGTGGCCCCCCTACGCCCCCTTACGCTTATTCATACCCACCACTCCGTCTCCTTTTTGCTCTTTTTCGACTGCTCGCAAAGACCGACATCGTTCTGCGCTTCTCTTCTGCAGCCTCCCGCCCCCGCGCTCCAACAAAAGAACACAACAGGGTAAAATAGCACCAAGCGCCGTAGCATACCACGCGCTCATCACTCCATCCATCCTCCCCTCACACACTCCACCCCCGCACCCGTTCCACCCGTTGAACCCGTCAACCCCTTCAACACCGTTCCTAATCCTGCGATCAGCCAGCCAGCCAGCCAGCCAGCCAGCCAGCCAAGCATCTCCCAAGGTTAGTACTGCCTCCCCCTCCTCCTCTCCTGCCTCCCCTGCCCGTCCCATCATCCATGCCCCCTTTCGTCTACCCCTCTCTCGGCTCTCGGCCCTGCTGCCGCACCCCCTGCATACCCTGTCTGCGCTTCCTTCCACACTCTCGGCCTTCTTACCCCTTCTTTGTTCTGTTTCCCTCTGGCTGCGCGCGCGGGGCACATGCCCAAAGACGCAATACCGGGCCAGCGAATGGGCGGGCGACCGAACGTTGAGCAGAATGCGCAATACACGCCATCCGCGCGTCTGGGCTACGCCATACATGCTCCAGCCTGTGCGTCTCATCGGTTCCTGTCGCTTAAGCCTGAAGTGAGCCTAAGTGAAAGAAACTCAACCCAAGCCTGAGCCAAAGCCACCGCAGGGCAAATGGCTCAAGGGGCGCGACCCGAGGGGCGCTTCGGGCGGTGCGCCCGCGGCTCCTGAGCTCCTGCACGGCTTGCACTCGGTTTCTTGGGATCCACCCAGTACATGCCAGGTGTCCCACCTGCTTGCTCCTGGCCCGTACATGACTTGCTGCGGTCCCCGATGCGACCGATGGGATTTCCTGTCTTCTGTACCGCTGCTGCACCGCTGGCCGGCCTCGCTCTGGTGGGACCGACCGATGCGACACTCTCTGCACAGACAGACGTGCGTACCGTCCTCTCTCTCCTCAGAGTTTATCAGTCGCGTTTACCACTCTTCTCATCCATTTTTTCCCCTTCCTACCTTCTCCCTCTTCTCCTCGCCTCCTTCAATTGTGTTTGGCCACATCAGTGCTCGGTCTTGCATCACACCTTACCACACCCACCCACCCTCGCACCCGGCCTTTGTTATTGTCTCTTTCTCACTTCCACACTACACACCCCTCTCTCACACACACACACACAAACACACACATATTCCCGCCAACGCTTCGGCCACCCGCGCGCACACGCCCCTTCACGAGCATCACACCGATCATCCCCCTCCCTGCACCTTTCATGTGTATCCGCGGCTGTCCGCTCTCGTAACCCCTCCCCCCCTGCACCTGCGCACCGACGAACCACGGACCTAACGGGACAGATCACCGCCACACCCAGCTCGCCCAGCGATTCAGACCCGGTGACCAGTGACTTGTGGGTATCATTCTCTTAGCGCGATAGCGTATGTGTGCATGCGCGCATGCGTGCGATGGCGTCTCGGACCGGGCCGCCGGTACGCCAGTCACTTGACTGGCCTGGCTGGTGCTAGCGTCGCTGGCGTCGCTGCCGCTGCTGGTGCGGGGCCAAGATAGCCCAGCGATCCAGCGAGCGAGCGAACGAGCCAGCGAAGGCGGTTATCGCCTTCGGTCCGCTGCGCCAGCGCCTGCCAATACACCAGCGGCCCGGCACCCGGCAGTCCAAGCAGCCTAGCGTCTTCCCTTTCTTTACCCCGCGCACCCCGCGCACGAATCGCACGAAACGAGCAAACAGCCCCGCACCCCAGTGTCTTATCCGTTGCTCTACGGTGTTGCTAGCGCTGGCCCCGCATGCGCTTGCTTGCGCTTGCTGATGGCTCGCATGCGGCGTACGCGGCGTAGCGGTGGCTCGCAGATGCCCGTTGCACCATCATAGCGTCGCCAGCTCGTGCAGCTGGTCCCAGGTGGTCATGCGCGCGCATGCGGGCCCCGCCAGAGTAGTGTCGCCGCATTCCGCACCAGTCTTAGAGCGGTACCAGTCGCAGGCATTCTGTCTTCTATCAGCTAGGGTTTCAGGCTGCTGCAGCTGGTCTTTTGCATTCCTGCTGCTTGGGTTCCCCTGCTTCCGCTCTGCTTCCTCTTGGTTCTGCGATACAAAAGAAGGCAGCGGCAGGAATAACGCCGCAGCGCTTCTACTTGCAGCACCTTCTGATCCCCACTCCATCACTTATCTAGAGCCTTCAGCTTCTGGCTTCCGTCTTCTGTCACTCTCGTCACTTTCTCCCCAGCCCCACTCTCAGCGCCATCAGGCCATCAAGTTCCAGCGCCCGCTAACAGCGCAGCCCTCAGTCCAGGTTTCCCGGTGCTCGCCCGCGTGCACCCATTCTCTCGCCACAATTCGCATCAAAGAGTGCTACCCGCCCTCGCATCGCTCCGGTCTCCTGGCCCAGCGACGCCGCGACATCCCCGATCGCGATACACGCGAAACCCTCTACTGCTACGTCACCAACGACTCGAGCAGCATGAGCGAGCGCCCGAGCTCCGGGCACAAGCGTGCACCGTCTGATGGATCAGACAGGCTGCACCCGCACGACCAGCGTTCCCGCCCCTCAAGCAGGCCAACGAGCAGGCACGGCCCCATCAAGCGTTCGCCGCCGGGCACCGTCTCCCCGGGCTCGAGCCACGGCGAGGGCTCCCGCGGCCCGACTTGGAAGACCGAGTCGCACAGCCAGTCGGCGTCCGGTCCGCGCGGCGACAGCGGCAGCCCGAACATGTCCGCCGACGATGGACAGAGCCCCCGCCCCGTCACGCCCGGCACTGGCATGACGGTGAACAGGAACCAGCCGGCCTTCATCTCCAAGCTGTACGCCATGCTCCAGGACCAGAAGTACGCGGACGCCAACCTGATCTACTGGGCTCCGGACGGGCGTTCGTTCATCTGCCCGAACCCGATCGAGTTTGCGCGCGACGTGCTGCCCAACTTTTACAAGACGAACAACTTCCAGTCCTTTGTCCGCCAGCTCAACATGTACTCGTTCAACAAGGTCAGCGACCTGTGCAGTGCGACGCAGTCTGACCCGTCGGCGTGGGAGTTCCGCCACCCGCTGTTCTGCCGCGACGAGCCGGAGAAGATCCACCTCATCCAGCGCAAGGCTGGCGGCCGCTCTGCAGACAGGAGGCAGCAGCACGCCGCTGGATCCCCAGACGAGCGGCCCAGTACCGCCAATCTCATGTTCAACAGCCCCCAGCGCCCCAGCAGCAGCAGGCACGGCTCCGCCCCCCGCCTGCCCCAGGAGGCGATGTATCCCAGGTACGAGCGGTACGAGCGCGAGCCGCAGACGACGTACTGGAACCACCAGCCGGCCGCGCCGTCAACGGAGGGCGACGTGGCGGCGCTCGAGCGCGAGCTGCAATACATGGGCGCGCGCCTGCAGGCGGAGCGGCACGAGAGTGCGCGCCACTCGCTGGAGCTGCACGGCCACCTCCTTCGGATGACGGACATGGTGGCGGACCTGAGCGCAAACGACACGCACATGAACCGGGAGGAGCTGTTCGGCTTCCGCGCAGATGTGATGGAGCGCTACAAGCCAGGTAGCCGACGGCCAGCGGTATTACGAGCAGCACCCGGGCCACCCGCCACCGGCGCCGACGCACACGCAGCATCCGCCCAGCAGCTCCCACTCCAACTCGAGCTACCACGACAGGTACCACCCGTACCGCCGCAGTCCCCCGGGGACGGCCGAGTCGCGCCCGGGATCAAGCCGCTACGAGCAGGTGCCGCGCGCACCGCCCCCGCACCCCTGGGAGCGCGATGCGAGGTACGAGCGCTACTACGACGATGAGTACTACCGCCGGCGCGGCGCGAGGGATGTGCGCGACCCGCGCGACGCCCGTGATCCTCGTGACCCCCGCGATCCCCGTGACCCCCGCGACCTCCGCGATCCAAGGGACGTCCGCGACGACCGCTTCGACGAGCGCGCCGTGCCCGAGCAGCCGGCGTCGCTGCGCAACATCCTCCACTAGCAAATAGCACATTAGCACATCCAGCACACACCACACCCTCACGCCTCCAGAGGAGGCAGATCACGACCACACGACCAATGTATGTAACGACCCCTTCCATGACGCGAACACTTGCCCAGCGCAGTCCCTGTCGCGACCGCCGCCTGCCAGGCCACACATCATCCATCCCAGTATTGTACTGTAAGCATGAGGTCACAGCTGCCCAGACACGATATGCAATCTGTGACCTATTACCCTGCGAGCGAAGCGAGCATGAGCCGAGAACGGCAAGAGGGTCGGAACAGTGGCACAGCCTGCACCGCAGCGGGCAACACCCGGCCGGCAGCGAGTGATCGTCGCTTTCGCCTCGGTCCGCGATCCGTATTCCGCACGCCCCGCACGACCCTCACGCCCCTCACGCCCTTCATAGCCCTACGCCACCAGATTGTGCCCGAAGGCCGAGGCTTAGGCAGCTATAGGCTTGCTCTAGACTCGCAGAATGTTGTTCCGCACGCTTGTTAGCTCGATATCGGGCGCCGAGAAGGCCCAGCAAACGCCTCCCACGCCTCGCAGGCTGGACAGACTGGGAGATCTCTTTGACCTCAGAGGGCGGGCGAGACTAGACCGCAACAAACTACTGTACGCTATTGTCGCGCTATCGCGATCGCACGCACGAGCACTACCCCACAAGCGCGCCAGGGTGCGGGGTGGCTTCTGGCGTCACCGTGAACTCTGGTCCGCCATTAGCCGCCCTAACTTCTGTTGCTCGCTTTCGCTCCCTTTCGCCCGCTTTTGAGTGCATGTGGCTCGATATAGCACGCAGATGTGGTAAGCGCCCGTGCTAGTGCTATCGAGACGGACATTCTGGGCTGCTTTCATCGACTTTAGCGCCGGAGCAGCGAGTGTCCCTTTGCTGCAGGCAGGCGAGCAGGCGAGCCTCGGGAGCACAGATATGAAGAGGCAAAGTTACTGCGCCGCGCAGCAGACTCCGACTCTCTTCTCCCGGGACCCAGAGTTTAGCTCACACTAGCGCGACCCGTACTTCCAGCTACATCCCGGCAAATACCTTCTTTCGTCGTTTTCGTCGTTTCTGCGGCTCCATGCGGCTCACCTGACTCTTCCTTCTGCGTATGTTCAGGCCTAGTGCGGAACCCAGAGTGCGGCCCGGCCCTGCCACCCCTTCTTCGCATCGTTTGCGTCGGGCCAGAGATAACGTACACTCTCCTTCCCCAACAGCCGAAGCGAGAGTGGCGCTCGGGGGAATGACGGCACCCAGCGTGATCTGCGTCACGCACGCACGCAACTCGGCGCAGTTGCAATCGCAAATCGCACGAGGGCATGAAGCATCACAGTGCAATCCTGGGCCTAACTGTAGGGCTCGGACCTGGGCCGATCGCGCGACGGCGACCCAGTCTGGATGATCACCGGTGATCAGTGGGGCGCGGAATGGAGTCTAACGCAGCACCCGATCCCGACAGCGCCGTCGTCCGCGGCACTGTTGCATTGTTCTAGCGTCTCCAGACGCCAGACCTTCGCTGGAATGCGATCAAACGAGGCTGATGCATCACAGTGTGCATCGTGTACAGCGCGGCGATCAGCGCGACGGCTCACGGGGACATGAATGCCTAGGCTTTCATGCAACTCGCCTCACAGACGTTTCTAGACCCCACGACTTGCGACACACCCGACACGACCCGCGCGCTTGACGCCAATAAACGCAGCGACCCGCGCTTTCTCTTGCTAATTGCAGGAAACGGCGTACGTACGACCATCCGCCTGCCCCAGAACTCAGGCGTGATGTCACCAGCGTGCGTACGCTGCCCGTGACTGCCCCGAAAACTCACCAACTCAGTCCCCATCACACACCCGTGCCGTCGTGCCGGGCAATTCACCCAACTCTGCGCCAGAGGTAGTGTTTACCGGAAACTGCATGTCACATTTCGTCCTTCGCCCCTGGCACTGGGTTTGGTCGCACGCAAGAAGGAATTAATATGCTGACGCGAGTCTCGGAACGAACACACTTCGATCGGTGCCGTGCCGCCAGGTCCTACCAGGTCCTGCCAGGACCCCATTGTTTGCAAGGCACTACGGCGCGTACCTTCATCTCCTCGTCACCTCCGCGCCTCCTTTGACGTTTGACGGATATTCAGCAGTCCGACAAGGTCAAAGCGCAGGCTTACGACGCAGAACTCTCCTTCGGGGTGTGAGTTCCTGGTGACACTTCTGCGAAGATAGGGGAACGAGAGCATACGTGCGCCGTCTGTATGCGTCGCATGCCACATGGCACGCAGGCTCCGCCAGCTCCGCCGGAACCCAGAGCCCGAAACGCAGATTAAGCGCACGGGCCTAACTCTGCGCGGCGGGCTTCCAGACTTTCCACTAGATTTCGAGAGTTTCGAACGCGGGTTCGACTGCCCTCGACTGCCCTTGACGGCCCTCGATCAGAGGTCTGGCGCGAACTTTGACTGAACTCTATTCCCCCCTCCGTCCCTTCCCGGCTCATCCGGGCACACCCCCTGTCCGGGCGTATATTAACGAGAGGTACCGAAAGGTACGCCCGCCCGTACTTTACGGATGCAGGTGCATGCGTCTGGACCGTGACCGACACCACCAGCTCTTAACGCCAGCGGCCATTGCGAGATCACCGCAACTCACTCTTGTGTTTGCCCACATGCCGCCTCACTGGAGCTGACACCACGTACAACTGACCTTGGACTGGTTTTGGACTAGTCTTGTTACGAACAGCGCCGCCGCGCCACCGGGAAGCAGCGGCGACGCCTGCCCGCTGACCGCAAGCTAAACGCAGGCCAGATTGCTCGTTGGGGAGGAGAGTTAAATGAAAGAAGAACCTTCCCGTGCTCCACGGAAACGATGCGATGCAGCTCCAAAACGCAGCTCGGCGTCGAGGTGGAGACGGCGCATGGAATGCGGGGCTCTCGGGATCGCGGCCATGATACTGAGACCTCTGCGGTACCGACCGGGCCACACGGCACGGCGGCACGACGGTACGAACGGCACGACGGCACGCGGCACGATTCCAGCCAGACGGAGGCGGTGCGTGCCTCCGTCGCCGTAGCGCCACACGATAACATGCATACGTGCATGCGCCGGGGTACGTTTCCAGCGCACCGCCTGCCCCGACGTAGGTTTTGACTGCGCGTTCGGTCAAAGTTCCAGCGCACCGCCTCGTCGCATGGCGGCGTCACCGGGAAACTGTTTTCGCGTGGAAGAAGGAGATCTGTCACCGCCTCAAAGAAGTCGACGCACACGATCGGAGGTTTGGCAGCGCCTTGCGGCCTGCCCTCGCCGATGCCCGGTTGCCTTCTGTCTGGCTTGCGCAGGAGACAGAGCAGTGCAAGTGCTGCGAAGGAACACGACGAGACGGCGAGCAAGGGCGCCAAGCGCATTGAACGGTTGCCATGCATGCGCACAGCATTACTGGCGTGCAGATAAGTCGGGATGATGGCGCTAGAATGTTGAGAGAGGATCGATCGTGGCACTTCTACTACTGTAGCCTTGGTGTGTCTGCTGTCCCCGTCATTGCCACTAACGAGCTGGCAGCGAATGTCTCGCATAGCAGTGCACTTTAAGTCACTAATACTTCATGATCTCACGGATCATGACATGCGATCAGGGCTTGCACCATTACTGGGGGCTCGTCACATGAAGACTGAAGACAAGGTAAAGAAATGATCGCTTTTCGGCCTGTTTGCTGGAACGACGTGGTGAATCTCGGATCCGATGCACTGCGAGCGACGGTGTACCCTCTTAGCGCGGAGTTCCGCACATTCCGCCCTCCGTGACCACCACGCAAGCCGTGACACCTTTTAACGCGCTCGTTACTGTCCTCCGTGCTTATTGTTGCATTTCCCACTGCATGAAAGAGCAGATATCATGAGAAATGAAGCCCTCCGACAGGTAAGACACGTGCGGAGCAGAGTGCTTTGCGGACCACTGCTTCGGAACGAGCGGGCTGACGCCGCCCTCCGTAATACGTCCCCGGAGAAGCCGAGGGTCCGGGAGCCTCGGGTGATCCACTCGCCGGGTCCGGAAGACGCTACCAATCCACTGGGCGCGGGTGGGAGTGCATACGTGCATGCGTCCTGCATGTGGCGGATGTGTGTCACACACAGAGTGCCACTTCTGTCGACTGCCCTCTGGTCCGAAGCAGGTCTAGCAATCTCACGCATGCATTGCCAGTCATCTACAGAGGAGCAAACATGCTTGGAAGGCCGCGCACGGGCTGTTCCCCCTTAAACAGCCGGCAATTTCTCAATCACGGCGACAAATTTTGCTTAGGCCGGCAATGGTGTACGACAGTATCCTTGCGCTGTAACAAGCAACATGTTACCGCGCGTCGATGCACTCTGACTCAGAGCCGTACTTGTGCTGCGCCTGGAGCAAGCGGAACTTGACCTTCTGGGGCCACTGATGGACGTTCGAGCGCGGGCGTCTGTCCCAACCGAGCAACAGCCAACGGGCGTGCACAAGACGGTGCGAGAGACGCACTGCAGCCGCGTCTCATGCACCAACGTCGTTCGTACCTTCTGCTCTGGTCGCTATGGAGCGCCTCCGCATTGCTTGCACACCGAGTGGTGCTCTCCTCCTCGTTCATCCACTTTCGACAGGTCAAGATCGACCTTCTGAGTTTGAGAAATAGCCAGCAGAGCATCCAGGAGCAGCGAAATGGTCTCGCACCCGCTAGGGACCGGGCTCGGCGCCGCCGCGGGCATGCTCGCCATCAATAAGCGTCTCTTCGCTAGTATATCGGTTAGTATAATCGCCTCTCAAACGAGAGTTCCTCACCTCCAAGTGATCGCGATAGAGCAGGGTTCGACTCCCTGGCGGAGAACAGAGAGGGAGACGTCCTCCTTTTGCGTGTTTTGGAGTCCTCAAGCATCCCAAGCAATATGAATCGACGACCTGGGAGACAACGCGGAGCTCCGGAGGCTGGCGTATGGTGACTGACGTGTGACATGGCGGCCGCTTCAGTTCAGCAGGGAGCTCTCTGACCTGCTCAT